AATCTCTTTTAAAGAACTCAAAGAGCTATGGCTAAGATATTTAGCATCAAACATGTTCTAATAGGTGTCTACCAAGTTTGTTCAAATAAAAGCCCTGGGGTCAAAATTGGCCCGCCCCGGGGGGGTCATTGATTTTCCCTATATGCATATAGTAAAAACTTAAAAATTTTCTTTTAAAGAACCAAAAGAGTTAAAGCTAAGATATTTAGCATGAAACATGTTCTATTGAATGTCTACCAAGTTTGTTCAAATAAAAACCCTTGGGTCAAAATTGGCCCCGCCCCAGGGGGTCATTGATTTTCCCTATATACATATAGTAAAAACTTAAAAAATCTTCTTTTAAAAAACCATAAGAGCTTAGATATTTGGCATGAAACATCTTCTAGTGAGTGTCTACCAAGTTTGTTCAAATAAAAGCCCTTGGGTCAAAATTGGCCCCGCCCCAGGGGGTCATTGATTTTCCCTATATACATATAGTAAAAACTTAAAAAATCTTCTTTTAAAGAACCAAAAGAGCTACAGCTAAGATATTTAGCATGAAACATGTTCTAATGGGTGTCTACCAAGTTTGTTCAAATAAAAGCCCTGGGGTCAAAATTGGCCCCGCCCCGGGGGGTCATTGATTTTCCCTATATGCATATAGTAAAAACTTAAAAAATCTCTTTTAAAGAACTCAAAGAGCTATGGCTAAGATATTTAGCATCAAACATGTTCTAATAGGTGTCTACCAAGTTTGTTCAAATAAAAGCCCTGGGGTCAAAATTGGCCCCGCCCCGGGGGGTCATTGATTTTCCCTATATGCATATAGTAAAAACTAAAAAAATCTTCTTTTAAAGAACCAAAAGAGTTAAAGCTAAGATATTTAGCATGAAACATGTTCTAATGAATGTCTACCAAGTTTGTTCAAATAAAAGCCCTTGGGTCAAAATTGGCCCCGCCCCGGGGGGTCATTGATTTTCCCTATATACATATAGTAAAAACTTAAAAAATCTTCTTTTAAAAAACCATAAGAGCTAGAGCTTAGATATTTGGCATGAAACATCTTCTAGTGAGTGTCTACCAAGTTTGTTCAAATAAAAGCCCTGGGGTCAAAATTGGCCCCGCCCCGGGGGGTCATTGATTTTCCCTATATACATATAGTAAAAACTTAAAAAATCTTCTTTTAAAGAACTCAAAGAGCTATGGCTAAGATATTTAGCATCAAACATGTTCTAATAAGTGTCTACCAAGTTTGTTCAAATAAAAGCCCTGGGGTCAAAATTGGCCCCACCCCAGGGGGTCATTGATTTTCCCTATATGCATATAGTAAAAACTTAAAAAATCTTCTTTCAAGATCCAAAAAGAACCAAAAGAGTTAGAGCTAAGATATTTAGCATGAAACATGTTCTAATAAGTGTCTACCAAGTTTGTTCAAATAAAAGCCCTGGGGTCAAAATTGGCCCCGCCCTGGGGGGGGGGTGTCATTGATTTTCCCTATATGCATATAGTAAAAACTTAAAAAATCTTCTTTTAAAGAACTCAAAGAGCTATGGCTAAGATATTTAGCATCAAACATGTTCTAATAGGTGTCTACCAAGTTTGTTCAAATAAAAGCCCTGGGGTCAAAATTGGCACCGCCCCGGGGGTCATTGATTTTCCTTATATGTGTATAGCAAAAACTTAAAAAATCTTCTTTGAAAAAACCCAAATAGCTAGAGTTAAGATATTAAGCATGAAACATCTTTTAGTGAGTTTCTACAAAGTTTGTTCAAATAAAAGACCTGGGGTCAAAATTGGCCCCGCCCCGGGGGTCATTGATTTTCTTTATAATGTGTATAGCAAAAACTTTAAAATCTTCTTTGAAAAAACCCAAATAGCTAGAGTTTAGATGTTAAGCATGAAACATCTTCTAGTAAGTGTCTACAAAGTTTGTTCAAATAAAAGCCCTGGGGTCAAAACTGGTCCGGCCCCAGGGGTGTCATTGTTTTTAACTATATGTGTATAGTAAAAACTTAAAAAAAATCTTCTTTCAAAAAGCCCAATGAGCTAGAGCTTAGATGTTTAGCATGAAACATCTTCTTATGGGTGTCTACCGAGTTTGTGCAAATAAAAGCCCTTGGGTTAAATTGGCCCTGCAACGTTGGGGGGTGGGGGTTGGGGGGCCTATATACAGGTGGGCGACCTCAGGGCCATCATGGCCCTCTTGTTGTTAGAGTTATGGCCCTTTAATAATTTTTATTTTTAAAGTTTGTCCTGACTTCTCTTATACCACAATTTCAATGAAACTTTACAGGAATGATCTGTAGCTCATGTCCTTGCGCATATTGCATGGGTTTTCCGGGCTGAGTTATGGCCCTTGATTAAAAGGTGTTTTTTTCTGTGTGTTGCCAGATACACAAAAGCTTGTCCGGACTACTCCTCATAAACTTCTGGTGCAATTTCATCCAAACTTTACAGGAATGATTAGTACCAAGTCTAGTTGTGCATATTGTCAGCATTTTCCGGTTCAATGATTTTTAGCTCGACTTTTCTATGAAAAGGGGAGCTATCCTACTCGCCCCGGCGTCGGCGTCGGCGTCACACCTTGGTTAAGATTTTCGTACCACCCCACTTTATTTCAGAAGTATTACAAGTATGGCTTTGAAACTTACCATACTTGTTCACCATCATAACCTCCATCTACAGACAAGAGTACATAACTCTGTCAAGGTTTTTGACAGAATTATGGCCCTTTTTTGACTTAGAAAGTGTATTGAGCTTGGTTAAGTTTTTTGTACCACCTCACTTTATTTCAAAACCATTGGAGGTATTGCTTTGAAACTGACCATACTTGTTTACCATCACGACCTTCATCAACAGACAAGAGGACATAACTCTGTCAAGGTTTTTGACAGAATTATGCCCTTTTTGACTTAGAAAATACATTGAATATGGGTAAAATCCACTTATTGCCTTAACCCTTTGAGATATTGCTTTGAAACTTTTAATGCTATTTCACATCATTACCCCATCTGTACGCAAGAGAAGGTAACTCTGTCAAGGATTTGTTTTTAAAAATTAAGGCCTTTTATCGACTTAGAATCTTGGTTAAGTTTTTAGTACCAGTCCACTTTTTGACTGAACTGTTTGAGATATTAATTTGAAAGTTGGAATACTTGTTTACAATCATGATTCCCAAACATGTCCAGGAGAAGGTAATTCTGTCAAAGATTTTATTTGAATTATGGCCCTTAACTGTCAATGTTTTGTATTATAGGCAAGCACTAAAAAACTTAAAAAATCTAAAAAAATTCATTCCTATCCACTTGTTCACTTTACCATAAATTATGTCATATAAACATTGCTGTAATATTCAAGGGTATCAAACAACTAGTTCACTTTAAAAATACAGAGATTCTTGTATTGCCTTTTACTGCAAAAACTTTTTTTATTGGCAAGCAATAAAAAAGTCGAGCGCGCTGTCTTACGGACAGCTCTTGTTGTCAGAGTTATAGCCCTTTAATAATTTTTTATTTTTAAAGTTTTTCCTGACTACTTCTCTTATACCACTAATGAAATTTCAATGAAACTTTACAGGATTGATCTGTAGCTCAAGTCCTTGCGCATATTGCACGGATTTTCTGGTTGAATGATTTTTGGCCGAGTTATGGCCCTTTGATAAAAAAGTGTTTTTTTCTGTGTGTTGCCAGATACACAAAAGCTTGTCTGGACTACTCGTCATAAACTTCTGGTGCAATTTTATCCAAACTTTACAGGTATGATCAGTACCAAGTCTAGTTGTGCACTGTCCGTCTGTCACAAAACTTGTCCCAACATGAAATTGGCCATCATGAGGCGACACATGTGATCACTGATCGCTCTTGTCAAGTTAATTTTTTTTCTAATTTCCCCTTTCACAGGCTTTGCTTACTTTAATATGAAAGATTGCAGAATCCAAAATATAAACTACATGTACCAATCAAATAACCGTAAGATACTGGCTATATGTTTGTGCTGTTTTGTTTTCTAAGCTAGGACTTGTGGCAGTGCTATATAATACCATAAGATTACCTGCTCAATATTATATACTCTTAAGGTTTGAACGAATACCAGGACCTATTTTCATTTGGTGTTTTTTTTCGGTCAGTTGTTAATTGTTCTGTGCCTCTTTAACTTGTTAAAATAATCCCTGTTGTGTCATTTCTTGTGGATATATAGTCCTATTTTACACTGTTTAAATTCAACTATTTGATGGGCAAAAAAATTTAAACAATCATGTGTTACAATATGCCTTAATACAGGGTTTTGGAAATCCTATGCCTGCCTTGGGATTTAATGCCTGCGGAATTAAAATACATAAAAATAGCTTAAGGGCCATAATTGTAGGTCACTGATCAAATCCATTAACGTTGTGAATGAATTGTTAACGTAGAAAAACATAAATACTTCTGCATAGCTCTTTTTACTATCAAGCATATTAAATTGTATTAAACTGTAGTGGACTCTTGTGTACAACAAGGATTTGCCATAAATGATTACAGTAACATAATAATGAAAGTGGGTCCAGTTATCCTTAATGAAATACTGCTGTTTTAATCAGAAAAAAACATATATTTGGACTAAGAGGTCACAGTTACAGCTCTTCATATTAGAAGTTTTGTTAGAGGGTGTGAATGGGCAAAAATCTAGGTGTAGATTTCAAAGCATTAAGTTTATTTTATTTCCCCCATTTCTAAATGAAGAGTGTCATATAGATTTGCCTTAAACCATCAGTTCCCCTGTCCCAACATGCTGCTGTCTCATAATCATTGTCAGTGCACTGACAAAATTGTGGAATGATGGTGCATCCATGCACTTTGTTTTCATTTATTTGCCAATTGAGTTTTAATTCACATCATTACTGTTAAGTTTAGGTGACAGCCTTCAACCCTTACTGGTTTGACCATTATTTTAGGTACACCTGCAGTAGAAGTAGATAAGCATCCAAATCCCAGGAATATTTCCTAATATACTAATACATTGTCTTTTATTTGTAATTTCAGTTGACGATGGCAAGTACGGTGCCGCCTCTAACTACCCATATCTTAGATACAGCTACAGGTGTACCTGCAGCTAATGTCCCAATGGTGTTATACAGACAAAATACATCTGAAGGGTTTGATGAATTAGAACGTGGGTAAGGATATTGTATCATGAAAGCATTAATAAGTGTCGGTTTATACAGAATTGATTTTAGTTCGATTTTGTAGGAGCCTTAAAGCATATAAGACACTCTCTTGAATCCGTATCTGGAACCAACCAGTTCTGAGCAATGAGTGAAAAGTTTCTTACTCAAGGAAACAACAGCTTGCCTGATAGGATTTGAACCCACAAGTACAGCGATCCTACTGGTCTAATACAATAACCACTCAGCCGTGCAGCCACAAGTGTAATTTATTGTTCAGAAGTAGATATGTTAAACTGAAAATGCAATACTTTAGTTTTGTAAGTTCTGTAATTGATTGCTGTATTTTATAGGAAAAGTCCATATATTTTTCACAAGTAGCTTTATGGGTGACCAACTTTACAAGATATTTCTGTTGAATTTCTCTTAGTCTAATGACATATTGATGTGATAATCATATTTTGTACTCAAATATTGTAAGTAAATAACATTTTATATTTTATATTGAACACCTCTGATAAACAGTGCTACATGATTTTTTTCAGGAACACTAATAATGATGGTAGAGGAGGATTTTTAAAGGGAGGTAACTGGCAGCCTGGTGTATATAAACTTCATTTTAACACAGATGCTTATTTCAAACAACAGAATACAACAGGATTTTACCCATATGTTGAGGTAACATGATATTCAATATGGGATATTTGTTTTCTTGTTACATGCAGAGATAGTCACTGTGAAGTATTTCTTGAAATGGTTGACTTTATCTGGTAAAGTCAGGATCACATGATATTTAGAGACAAATCTGGAAAAATTCATATTAACAAAGTTGTCCAAATTTGAATAAACCTTTTATGATAATATGCATTTGTATATTTAATCTTCTTCTTCCTCGTCAAGTATAAAGTTCCCTATTTTTACAAAAGTAACCTCCATTATTGCTGAAAGTGGCGGCCATTTTGGTCGCCTTTTAAATAATGTTATTGATAAAATGTAAAAAATAAAGTGATCTTGGTCTTGTTTTCTGGATTTTGTATGGTCAGGATCATATGAGATATATGGCAGCATCCAGTGTGATCCGGTCTAGAAAAACTCAGTACCTGATCATGGTTACATTTGAAAAAAAAACATTTTATCATGCATAGGTTTTACATACAGCTGTTATCTCATATTATAAACTTCACTTTTCAAGAAGGTATAACAACCTAATAGTATTAAATAAAAGAAAGTTTTGTATAAATGTATATTTTAACATCTCAGGAATTTTGATAAGGAAATTTTGCTTGAGGAAATATTTACAGAAAATAAATTCACAGAAATTCTGTTATATTATCATACTTCCATTGAAAAAAATGTGCATTTATTAACCAAGTTTTCATTTATTAACCAGGTTTTCAACGAAAACTGGTTATTGTTATGCTGAAGTCAGTGGGTGGGCGTCAACTTTTGGTTTCCACTCAATGACTTAAGTTTGCTTTGACCTAATGAACCCAAACTTAGTGTGTAGCTAACTTATATCAAGAGGCATCTTAGGATTGCTACCCAGATGTCTTTGATCAAGGTTAAGGCTACTGTTACTAAAAATAGAATTTAAGTTTCTGCTCAATAACTCTAGTTTGCTTTGGCCTATTGACACCAAACTTGGTGTATGGTAGCTTATATCAAGAGGCAGCTTGGGATTGCTACCCAGATGTCTGTGATCCAGGTCAAGGTCACTGTTACTAAAAAAAGAAATTTAGTTTCCGCTCAATAACTTGTTTGCTTTGGCCTATTGACACAAAACTTCATGTATGGGTATATTATATTAAGCAAGCTTGGGATTGCGGGTGGTCCAGGTCAAGGTCAATGTTACTAATAATAGAAATTCAGTTTTAGCTTAATAACTTTAGTTTGCTTCGGTCTGTTGACACCAAACTTGGTGTATGGGTAGCTTATATCAAGACGCTACTGGGGATAATTACGCAGGTGACTATGATTAAGGTCAAGGTCACTTAATTGCTAAAAATATAAAATTGCTAAAAATATAAATTCAGTTTCTGTTCAATAACTAGAGTTTGATGTGACCTATTGATAGCAAATTTGGTATGTGGGTTGCTTTTATCAGGTTGCAACTTGGGATTGCTACCCAGATGTCTGTGATCAAGGTCAATGTTAATGTTGGTGAAAAATATAAATTTAGTCTCTGCATAATAATTTGAGTGTACTTAGATCTTTTGACCCTAAATTTAGTATGTGGGTAGCTTACTTTTATCGTGAAGCAACTTGGGATTGCTACCAAGGTGTCTGTGCACAAGGTCAGTTTCAGTGTTGCTTAAAAAAAATCAGTTTTCACATAATAACTTGAGTTTGCTTTGACATTTTGACACAAAACTTGCTTTGTGGCAGCTTGAGATTGCCAACTATATATCTGAGAGCAAGGTCAAGGTCATTCGCTTACAATAGAATTTTCAGTTTCTCTCGAAAACTTCAGAGCACTTTGACCTATTGATTGCTGTCACATCAAAACTTGGTCATTGAAATCCTGGTTTTGTCACCTTGCGGCTCTTCTTGTCATTTATTTCTTTCTTTTCCAGAATGCTGTAATTATAATGATGAATATGTATGTATTTCAGGTTGTTTTTAGAATAGTAGATCCAAATCAGCATTACCATGTTCCGTTGTTGCTAGCACCATATGGATATAGTACATATAGAGGAAGTTGACCTGATGCTGGTGATCATGTGACTATTGCTAGGTGATAATAATATAACCTGCGTAACTATGTGTGGTATTGTGTGAAATGCTTATGGAAAGTATATCCAAGAAATTTAAATAAAAACTGTATCCAGAATGCATAACTTATTTGAAGTGAATAGTTTTGTAAGTTCTGTTTAAAAACTGAAACAATGAAAAAATAATGTACAGGTTCTAGTTATGGATGGAGACAGTTTATCTGGCATTGTTTTAGATGGCTGAGCAACATTTTATATTTCATACACATAATTGGTTTATGTGATCTAAATATTGAATTAAAATTTGTGGAATATGTTAGATGTGAAATATTTGTTGGTAATTAGCAAAGTAACAATTGCTTAATGCCTTAATAGAAATACAATAGTTCTTACTAAAGATGTACGTTTGTTAACAAATAAATTTGCTCAAAAATGTGAATTTTCATTGTTTAAATGAAATTCTATAGAATTTTTGTTTAATGCTTTCAGATACAGGAAACCATAAATGTTATGTAAATTCAAGTGTTTGTGAATAATCAACTTTTAAATTTTCACTTTATGATGTGACAGATAAAAAGCCAACTTGTAAATAAATAGAATTATAGCTAGTCAGGGAATAGAATATGATACCATGTAAAATGTTTAGGCAGAGACTTATGATATGGCTTTGTTGTATAGAAAATGGAAGAAAAAATATAAAAGTTATATTGTAGCTTTAAAATTACAGTATTCATGTATACTAGAAAAAGTGATAAATTGCATTATATTTGATGTTCGTTTATAGCTTGTTTAATTGAAGAATAGGGAGAGCTGTTGTACTCTACACCCCAGTGTCAGTGTCACACACTTGTTAATTTTTCGCATGCGAGTTGGTGTCTCCAAAACTACGAAAAGAAATGGGTTGAAACTTCACACATTTGTTTATCTAACATGTAGGGCATAGGTCCCATTACTCTAAGATATTTTTTACAGAGTTATGCCCCTTATCTAGTCGAGGGTGCTGTTTTGCAGACAGCCTGTAAGTGTATTGTTTTTTCACAAACTGAGAAAGTTGTTACTATTTTTCTTTGTATATAAAATAGATGCTTTATAATTGAATTTATAAACTGTTTATTGATTTACATTTTTAGTATTTCAGATACACATGCACGTGATAGAGTATTTATTTTATTCATTAAAACAATATTTAAAAAAAAATTGGTTATTTTTCCATAAGTCTATGCTTTGTTATAGTTTTATCAACTCTTGCCCCTAGATATTTTAAGTAGATTTTAGTGAAGAATAAACAATAGCTTACAGAGCTTTAATATGGACAATGTTTAACTCCAAAATAATACAAAATGTGTCCTGAAGGTCAATTTTTTTGTTTGAAATATAAGGGAGTTAACTCTACATATGATACGCTTGAGTATTTATGTAAGATTTGTCTCCCTTTAAACATATTGCAGTGGAAAAAATGACAGAATATAAGTGATTAAGTAATGTCTGTGTACTCGTATGCATTATTGAAATACTTATTTTGAAATGTAACATTTCATGTTCTTTATACTGGTTGGCCGGCATCTATTTAAGGTTTCGATATTACAGTGCAGATTTAACGACAACTTTCAAGAATCCAACCATTTCAAAGTGTAGAAATAGAGGCGATAAAATTTAGAAACATATTAAAATATTTGTTTATCATTAATTATTTATCTTCTGATGTGTGTGTGTGTGTGTGTGTGTGTGTGTGTGCGTGCGTGCGTGCGTGCGTGCGTGTGTGTGTGTGTCGGGGTGGGGGAGGGGTTCGTCCGTGGCCGGGTGGTTGAGGTTGCCCGTAGGTCCAAGCCGTGCAAGTGTCGTCGGATTCTACATATGAGAATGCTGTCTAGCTTACGGAACGCCAGTGACTTGCCCGTCTGTGTACATAAGGGCACCTGAGGTCTTCCTCCACCAGTAAAACTGAAAAGTCGCCATATGACCTACACTGTGTAACCGAACAAAAAAAGAACTTGTTTTCTAAAACTGAGAATACACGTACGTGTAATATTCGATCCTATTCAACTACGTGTAATTCACCAGCTTTAATGGACCTTTTAGAAACCCTCTGTTATAATATAAATACCGAAAATGGTTTGGAAATTACGCATAATTTAGAAGATGTTGAATTGTTAAAATGACTTCTTTATATATTTAATTGATGATCCCATACTTGTATTAAAGCCGATATTTAAAATGAGACAAATGAGCTTTCCCCTGTCTAATCTCATCTCACATATTTAAACAATGGTGAACCCGAAAATTTAATCTAATTGTACAGAAATATCTTAGTGCATAGCCAAATCTGTCGAAAAGTTAAATAAGAATAAATGAAACCTCAAAGACAACACGAATGCACCAGAATGCTATGTTATTTCAAACAAAAGATAGATTTCCTTTAGCCAATGAAAACAAAGTGTGGATGTCACTATTAGACATTGGTATGTTGTATGTGTGTGGTTTATACTTGTACACATTTAATATACCCGCTGTTTTATAATATACCATTAAACACAGCCCGCCATTACAGTAAGCTACGGGCACGTGTCATTCGGAGCCCTAACTGTTTCCGCGCCTACTCTATTTCGCTCCTTGCTGTTAAATTCGCCATTGAGTTGCGGAAAATTACACAATTTTGCAGGTAATTTGCCCATTAAGCCGACATCGACAATGATCGGAAATGGGCAACTATTGCTATTGTATTTGTATCGACTGATAAGATATTTAAAATCACTTAAATATCCGTAACACGGAGAGGGGGCGCTGTAATCACCTTCTATAGACTAGTGACAATTGCATCCTTTTTACAAAATCGGCAATAAACAAGTGCCCGTAAGGGTATTAATGTATAGTATAGACAATTCAAGTTGCCAAGTTACATAAAGTAGCTTTTAAACTTAAACACAGATCAATTCGATTAATGAGCATTTTTATTGTGATGTAGACTTGATTATATTGACAGCTGATTTACAAATTTGTCTCAAATACCCAGACTTTCAATAAAAGTGGGGGAAAAACATCAACATTACACCAGGGACGATAGGCTACTTATTCTAGTACCAGCGACGTACTGACCAGCCTACAATGCACGTGTTACAGCCTTCTTAGTGCTAGTGCATTTGTGACAAATTTAAAGTAAATCGTGACATTGTCAGAGTCCACGGGACACATTAATGCCTCTGTTACCGAAGATGTATGACTTACATTGTAAGAACATGTACCTTATTTGTAAATGTACTGATGTTCAACAACATTAAGCGATGTTCTGAATATTATCAGACCACATGGAATTTTCAAATACAATGTAATTTAAATCAATTCCGCTTTCCTGTTATACTCTAAACGAAAACCTAGTATTGCCGAAGTCCGTTTTTTTTTTCAGGTAATGCGTCAATAATAAGTCACATCTGTGCCCCCATGAGCCCTGGGCCAGTATTGTATAACTTAACTCGCTCTCTGGTCGACCCCTTGACCGCCAGTCAATTAGCCCTAAAGTCAGAAATTGTCTGTCCTTTTAGCTACACATTATCTTCAACGAACACATACTAAGTTACTAACATTTTTTTCAGGTAATACCATTTAGGAAGTTTTGAACTAAAATGATACCATTTGAAATAATCTTTAAATGTACATGGTCACAGCTATAATTGATTAAGTTCTTATGTAGGATTTAGAAGATATATATCATAAATGGTAAGCATATCAAAGTACAAATGTAGCTAAACCTCGAAGGTTTTGGTAAATAAAAATGCTTCCCTAAACTACAAAATGATATGTGATAAGATTGCTCTATGTATATTATACCACATACCTTCAACTGGGTTCACACAACTGAGTTGTTGAGAGAGAAAAAATAATCTGTTATCATTAACAAATTATAGTTAATGCCTTATCATAACTATTTCTTATCTGTATTTATTGCCCTTCTCGATACTCTTAATTTACAAGTTTATTATTCAATTTGTACGAGTTTATTATATCCCTCGGGACATCCCCAGGAGGCCAAACCGCCGTCACTCTTTAGTCACGGTTCCTTATCATTACGTGACAAAAAATTCAAATCTTTTAGCAAGAAAACAAAATAAGATGTCTGCTTAGAAACAAAATGTGTTGCCCACAGCAAATATCTGTGCGACAAGTGCATAAAAATCACTTGCATAATATAAAAATAAAAAAATGAATAAATCGATTTTATTATTTTTCGAAATAACTTTTATCATCACTTCTTTCAAAAAGTGTTATACTATTGAGATGTTAATTTATTTTATTTTATTTTATTTATGGATAAACAAATGCTGTAGATTTTGTTTACCCCGCGACTCAGATTTCAACATATTTAACTGGGCATTGCCTGTGGGCGGCGGGCCTTCCGCCATGTTTTGATTTGTTGCCTAATGATGTTACTTGCAATCGTCCAGCAATCGAGATCAAAGCGTCTGAAGGAGCTAAAGTGATCATTATCACATCAAGAAGTAGCTATCAAACTTCAATAATGTCCAAATCGAACATAGAAGAGGAGGAACAATTGTCCTTCTTTGGTAATATTTCGTTGAACTTGATCGATTTTGGCCGCCGGCGTGATTAATGGAAGGGTTGAAGAATAGAGGGACGGTTTGTTTAATACAGAAATATGTTTTCAGTCTCCCATCCTATGTTTCGTGTAGGTCTTGGCTGTTTTTTTCAAATTAGGGTGTATAGTTCATCTTTTAAAATGAAATTAAAAAAAAAAACGTTTTTAAAAAAAAGTTTCAAAAGGATTAAATTCCATATACTCTATTGTTATAAACACTGCTTTAATTGCATACGTAAATAAAGCGGTTTTATAAATAATTTATTACATGTTTTGCAGTAGATTACTGAATTATAACGGTTAATTATATTCTGATAATTTCACAGTAATGATTACCAAATATAATTTCACAGTAGCCGAACTATATTTGGCGTAAAAATAAAATATTTATCATTAATGAATGTTTTTTTCAGCGGAAATGTAGTCAATCATAATAAAAAATGTACGTGATAACTGTAGTTCGTAAATATTTACGAACGTTGTGCTGAAAAACATCTAAAATCTAAAAATAATCATGGAATTATATTTTGCTTCAACATTGTGACGTCATTATTTGATGGCGTCATGAAGATAAGAGCATGACGTTACGCGGCAAAATTGAAAAAATGGTGTAAAAATCGTTAAAAAATCATGAAATAAACAGAAAATTTGTTTGTTTTACATGTAAGATCAAATAATATTTCACTCGTGAACCCCAGCTATTATATTTTCACTCGTTGCTACGCCACTCGTGGAAAATATTGCATCTGGTGTTCACTCGGTGAAATATTTTTCGATCTTACACTGAAACAAACAAATATCCTCTATATATTTATTAAAAAAAAAGAAGACAATACCATACGTAAACATTGCAGTGTCCATGTAGAAAAAAACTTTAATTTTTGTAACCATGCCAACGGCAAGACTTCCTGCTGCACTTTGATACAATGCAAGTACGTTGTCACTATCGTATATGGCGGGCGCTAATTATATTTTGATTTGAAAATTCCATCAACTTCATGCCTCATTTATATGCGACGATGCAGACGAACGGAAGTTGTTATCAGGCTCCTTGAAACAACTGCGGATTGATTTTATTGACCTGTGTCTGATGTTGACTAATTGCTCATTAAAAGGACTAGGGATCTGAACCGAACCATTTATTATCAGTGGGCACAATATCGAATAAATGTTTTTTCTACTTACCTTTGGTCATTAAAAGCTGTCGGTCGTGGCTAAAACGTATTTGATCGACCGATTTGAATATAACAGCACTTATTTCAGTAAGTCAGCATATACAAAGTTTCATACATTTTTTGTACAAAAACAATCAAGGACTGCTTAATTAAGCGTTAGGAAAAAAATTGCACTTAATCAGAAGTTATTTTATTTAAAATAACAGCTTTTAATATCGTAACATTAGCAGAACTAGGTACGTGCACAGCATGGTACATTTTATTTAAGTATTTTGCCATAAATATATATGAAATGTGTGTGCATACCTATAAAAATGAAACATTTTTAACATGGAAATAGTATATTTCATTACAAATTGAACATCAATTCAACAGTTTGTTGTTGTTGTTGTTTTGTTTATCTTTACGTGTAAATCAGAATTGTTTTGCTTGGTAATTTGTTTCACTATCATTTTGTTCCGCTTAGATGAAATGTCAGTTAATCTCCAGAATAAAATAAGCGCAACAACACCTAGATGACCATGGAGCCGAGATCTAACCTTAAGATAAGCGCCACTTTGCCACATTGAATGGTCCCCTGGGTCAGATCAGAATCTTATTGGTCTCTCGTGCACACCGGGTACCAGTAAATAACGAAATATTCCGTCAACACCGAGAAAATGTATTCCTACGCCACAAGATGTCTTTGTTTCGGATGAAGAGATTCCAATCAATTTTGAGTGATAAAAGTGAATTTTGTTATCCATGCACGTGGTTTATAAACAGTTTGTGAAATACAAGATATTGTAATTATGTAGCTATCAGGGATATCCCACAGAGCTGCTGCGCAAAGTAGTTCCCCTGATTCCTGCTTCTTGAATAGTTTCATTGTTCATCAGCATCGAGCGTAATTTAAACATTGTTCAAAGTATAAGATCATTTGAAATCTAAACTATGAGTGGGTGCAAACTGCGATGTTTACGTATTTGCTATTCATTGCTAAATGATACTTGTATAAACATTTTATTTATCTTACAATTCTTTTTTGTTTTATTTTATCACTATAAGATCGAGCTTTACTGGTGGAAAGCGAAAATTTAAAACACGGACCGTGCCTTGTGAATAACGAGCAATTGTGGTCAAATCGTTATTTTTCTTTGTTTCGGACCGGTGTCCATTAAAGGTTTATTGGTTTATTCAACCTTTTTTGTCTTTATTCTGAAGAACGGAAAATTTACACTAAAATAAAACTAAGAAAAAACATGTACGTTTCATCAACTTTAATACTGTAACTTAAACAACATATTTACAACATTTACAGTAAGTGAAGACAGCGAGAAAATAAAGAAAGTTAACATATTGCGAGACAACATGTTGATATACATGTTACATTAGTCCATCGTCGGTTACCCACGGTATATATTGATACCGTGAGTAACCGACCATGACATTAACCATGATCACTATAGACTGAATATACATTTTTTCTGTAATCATTTTTTCTGCCTGCAGATCGGCAGTTCCTGACTTTCCTAGTTTACAGAATCGTACACAACATCACAAAAATAAACACACAGTAACAAGAAATACCAACATGATTAATTTGGTCCGTGCACCAGCATTTGAAAGCTTTTTAACTTTGACTAGTTTTCTTCTGTTCATATATTTACATATCCATTAACATATATATCTAATATATTACACATACTATATACATAATGATACATAAATCTCATGAAATTGACCAAAATCATGATCAATAAAAGCACTAACATATGAGATTTTTTTCTGTCTTACTAACTATAGTTACAACCTTTCCTAACACTTTGATTTTTTGTCAATAGTAAATGTTTATAAACATGCAATAAAATTTAATTTGTATACGAAATGTAACAACGAAAAGTGTAAGTTTTGTCCCAAATGCTTAACATGTAATGTAGACCTCAGAAATCTATATTACAAGAAAAGTGTAAGTTTTGTCCCAAATGGCTACATGTAATGTATACCTTAGAAATCTATATTACAAGAAAAGTGTAAGTTTTGTCCCAAATGGCTACATGTAATGTAGGCCTTAGAAAATCTATGTTACAAGAAAAGTGTAAGTTTTGTCCCAAATGGCTACATGTAATGTAGGCCTTAGAAAATCTATGTTACAAGAAAAGTGTAAGTTTTGTCCCAAATGGCTACATGTAATGTAGGCCTTAGAAAATCTATGTTACAAGAAAAGTGTAAGTTTTGTCCCAAATGGCTACATGTAATGTAGACTTTTGACAATTTATATTACAAGAAAAGTGTAAGTTTTGTCCCAAATGGCTACATGTAATGTATGCTTTAGTAAATCTATGTTACAAGAAAAGTGTAAGTTTTGTCCGAAATGGCTACATGTAATGTAGACTTTTGACAATTTATATTACAAGAAAGGTGTAAGTTTGTCCCAAATGGCTACATGTAATGTAGACCTTAGAAAATCTATGTTATAAGAAAAATGTAAGTTTTGTCCCAAATGGCTACATGTGATGTATGCCTTAGAAATCTATGTTACAAGAAAAGTGTAAGTTTTGTCCCAAATGGCTATGTGTGATGTAGGCCGTAGAAATCTTTGTTACAAGAAAAGTGTAAGTTTTGTTCCAAATGGCTACATGTAATGCAGACCTTAGAAAATCTATGTTACAAGAAAAGTGTAAGTTTTGTCCCAAATGGCTACATGTAATGTATGCTTTAGAAATCTATGATTCAAGAAAAGTGTAAGTTTTGTCCCAAATGGCTACATGTAATGTAGACTTTTGACAATTTATATTACAAGAAAAGTGTAAGTTTTGTTCCGAATGGCTACATGTAATGTATGCCTCAGAAAATCTATGTTACAAGAAAAGTGTAAGTTTTGTCCCAAATGGCTACATGTAATGTATGCCTTAGAAATCTATGTTACAAGGAAAGTGTAAGTTTCATCCCAAATGGCTACATGTAATGTATGCCTTAGAAATCTATGTTACAAGAAAAGTGTAAGTTTCATCCCAAATGGCTACATGTAATGTATGCCTTAGAAATCTATGTTGCAAGGAAAGTGTAAGTTTCATCCCAAATGGCTACATGTAATGTATGCCTTAGAAATCTATGTTACAAGAAAAGTGTAAGTTTTGTTCCAAATGGCTACATGTAATTCAGACCTTAGAAAATCTATGTTACAAGAAAAGTGTAAGTTTTGTCCCAAATGACTGCATGTTATGCATTCCTTAGAAAAGCTATGTTACATGAAATGTGTTAGTTTTTCCCAAATGGCTACATATAATGCAGTCTATAAGTTAGAAAATCTATGTTACATTGTATGTAATAAAATGTTTCATAATATGTATATGTAGTCAAATACAAGATAAACACTTTAACAACAGTTCTTACAATGTATATACAAATATGTACATCTATACATATGTCACAGTTGGCATGTCGAATATTTCATTAACACAGATAATCATCAGTTCATTTGCTGTAGTTTAAATCACAGTTATAATTATAATTCAAATAGCACATCTCAATTGTCTTTTTCAATATGTAATTAGTTTCATTTGGCGATGAGTCCGGAGTAGTCTGGGTGTCTAAGTGACGTCATTGCTGCGTGCGACTGGTATGCTGCTTCCGGTAACGGTAGAGTCTGACTAAATCTTGGAACAAAACCACCTAATGACTGCGCATATCGAGCTTCCGGTACACTCATTCCTCCAAAAACAGGTAAGTAACCGACTGGAATGTGATCGCTGCCCAGATACCTTGAAGAGGGCGGGGTCATCAACATCATAGGATTGTAGAAGGGAAATAATCTAGGGTCATAAATGTCTGTTGGTTTGGGGGGACTTTTGGTGGTTGTGGACACAGTGTTTTCATCATTTGTTAGTTTTGATATGCTAAAGTCACTAAGCTTTTTCGTACTGGACTGTGATGTTTTCGGGGAGGGAGATCGTCTGCAATCGGAGCACTTGTCGGATGTGACGCCATCTTTCTTCAGGAATGTTCTACCACAATCCATACAACTACCTTGGTTATCATCTGAAGAAAAAACAGACAAATTAGTTTTAAAAAAACAAACTAAAAACTATATTCAATCTTGGCTTATAGAATAAACAAGCGATATAGGAAAAAGTTCTTAAAAATGTATTTTGAGACAAGCTTTCCATTTAATACATGTATACGGCTTTCTTTTTCAGTTAAATGGGTAATTTTGTTAATATTTACCTTCGTGTGTCTTAAGATGCGTCTTCAGGTTGCAATACAGGGCGAACTTCTTCTCGCATGTTGGACATTCGTGGGGTTTATCACCTAAAAGATCAACAATCAAAATGAATACATGTAATGTATTAATAAATTAATCGTCAAATAGAAATAAATTAAATAATCGATTTATTTTATAATTATATTGAGAAACTTATATCAATTTCATTCATAACAAGTTGAAAATCTTTAGTATGTTTTTTTAACAAAAATACTGTATATTTAATAAGAACATTTCTGTGTTTAAATCTATGTCTTTTGAGAAAATTCATGACAGTTATGCTATAAGCTTACCAAAACCCCCCAAAAATACTACTTAAGAAGAACGTTTCTGTGTTTAACTCGAAACTTTGCGCTACTTGTCAAACATTGAGTTAGTTAGACTCACCGGTATGGAGGAGGAGATGGTTCTTCAGATTGGTTTGTTTGCTGAATCCCCGGTTACATACATCACATCTGAACGGCCAGGAACCATTGTGTACATACATGTGCGATCTTAGATCTCCGGGAGTAGGGAATGACTTAGAACACATTTGACACTTATGAGGTTTGTCCTGTAAAAAAAGAAGAAAAACAATATTAAAAAGCGTCATTTTCACAACAAATCTACCAGTATCTAAAGATATTGATCTCTGTTGCAAAGATGGTTGAACAAAATTATTCATGTGACAAAAACATATAATGAAACTATTTTTGTTTACAATTATTTAACAAATTATTTCTATTTAATGTATGTAAATTAACTACTTTATCACGTGATCACAAAACTATAGATGTTAAAGATTGTTTTAAAAACAATAGTAGATCTACAGCAACCACTTCACAGTGAATAAATAATGAAATAACAGTTTAAAAATTTATCTTTATCTTTTATTTCTAACCTTTAGAGAAACTTTGAAAATGTGAAAACAATTTGCGAATTACATATAAAAACATATATAATTTTAAAAGATATTTACCTTGTTGTGGGTCATCTTGTGATAGTATAAGTTGGAACTTGCTGTGAATCGTTTACCACATATCCCACACTGGTGTGGTTTTTCTCCGCTATGAATACGTCGGTGCGTGTTCAGGGAGGATGACGTAGAGAACGCTTTACCACAGACGTCACAGGCGTGGGGCTTCTCTCCTAAAATAATAAGAATAATGTCGGTATGAATAAACCTATACCCATCATTATAGTCAAGTAAGCAAGGAAAGTTGTAGAGAAAGTAATGATGAGTGAATATTAAATTATCTTAAAATATTTTTTAGTTGATAGAGTTAATACTATACTGTGAATTGTTTAACATCAATTTACAAGCGAATCTTGATACAATTTGATCGTCCCATAAAAGATTTAGGATGTTTTATCTTAACTGAATTTTTATTTTATTGAAAATGTTAAGCAAAATCAGTAATTAATTTTATAAGGAAAGAACCCTATTTTTCTAAAATAAAAGATGCATACCTGTGTGTGTTCTCATGTGACGTTTCAACAATGATGGACGATCAAACTTCTTCCCACAAACTTCACACGGGAGCCACGTGCGCTCTCGGTTACGTTTTGGACGGTAACTGTTATCGGACGGTGATGTGGTGTGGTCAGCATGGGATGACACTGGTGACGACATGCTATTTGGTGACGTCAGTGGGGATCGGGAACTTGATGTTAGGGGTGATGTGAAAGCAGAAGAGCTTGATTTGGACGGCGTGCTGTATGACGTCAGATTAAGAGGCGACATCTGGTGGGGGTACGACGTACTGTGGTGGGGTGACAAGTCAGGATCGGAGTATCTTTCCGTTTCGGGAGTACCGGTCAAGTTGGACATTGGACTCGTTTCATCTCCACTGTGTGTAGCATCACTCACACTGGACTTGCAGTCATCTTCTCGGGAAGGTGGTGACGTCATCAGGTCTCGTGCACCTGGAAATGGTACCGGAGAAACTGGTGTCACGTCCATCTCTACTTTTACTGTAAAAATAATTTCATTTGTTTAGTTAATCAGTCAAAGTAAGTACATACGCTATGTTGATACAAGTGGAATGAATATTCGGATTAATCAATCCTTTAAAATCTATTAAAATCAGTTTACAAAAGATTTTTAATCAATCCTTTCAAATTTATTAAAATCAGTTTACAAGTCATAAACTGAAAAACATTTTCCTGCCATCATGCAAGGTTTCATGCTTTTCACAGAAGGTGCCAAATGTTTTCACGAATTTATTGGACTACATCTTAAGTGTAAATTATATTAATGTTGATATGTATTAAATTCATCATTTATTTTTATTTTTTAATTATGTTTACCTTTACTTAAATCAGGTGTAACATTCTCTGAAGTTGTTTTGAGTACTTCCTCTATCTCTACATTATCGTCTGCTCGCTGTAGGAACGCTACGATTTCCTCATTTGGTAAAATGGTTTTGACTGTTTGAAATACGACTTCGCCCTTTATCTTGACGCCGACGACGTTGACGTCATCTATTACGTCAGAAGTTTTCAGAAAACGTATCCAGTTACAGTGACGTACATCCCGGCCTTCAATAACAGAAATCGTGTCTTCGCAGCCATACTCGTTTCGCACCTGTAAGGAAAAGGGTAAAATTATATAAACATTTGTTAAGGCAATGTTGTTTTGGGATTCTTTTTACAGGCTGTTGTTTTTCGTGATTTTGTTTCCTCGAAAAAGCCTGTGTAAATTATCGTTGTAATGTATAACAATATAGATATCATCAATGCACTCGTTATGCTTTCAAATATATGATAATAGAAGAGTATACATGTTCATGTTGTCCTAAAATGACTAAAGGTTAATTATATTGCATTTTTGGTTATCAATTATTTGAGACAAATAAGAATAGGATATATTTCATTTAATGAGTTTCAAGAAGTGACCATGTGTAATGATCAAATTAGAAGAATTGAATCATCTTAACGAAAAATCGGCAACTGCTCTCGCGTCTGATGTTTCTCAATTAACGCCCCGATTACCAGGCGTTAGTCAGTTTCAAAATGAGCTTAAAATATCCCCTTTGATCGGTCATCGAAAGTGACCACTCATTTTCTCCGTGGTATCAATTTAGAATTTTATTAGTGGCGCGTGTCCCTAGTTAATAATTTTAAGACAGAACAGATGCACGTGCGTAATCCGGCATTGACAGAACTATTCCGAATATTGAAAAATGTCTTCAGGCGCGTGCGCATTGAAAAAGATATATGATGAATATTTCTTAAAGGAAATCTTGAATTACAAGAAAAGTAAACGAAAATAGATCATTTAAAACACGAACAAAATATATTTTTTTTAAAATATGTCCGTGTAAATATACATGTTTACAGCGGCATTACAAGAGATACCTGTTAAATATTTCTCGGTTTATGAGCTTAAACTGTTTTTAAATGGGTAAAGAAATAATTTTGGTTTAAAAAAAATAACAAAATTTGGCATTTCAGTCATTTTGTTCATACAGAAAAAACAAATCATTGGCAAACATTTGTTTATTTCTTAGGAACGCGTTGCCAAGCGATATCAGAAAGATCATCCAATAGACTCGCAGATCTTATTTGAATTTTGAAATTCTGCAGTATCAGAGTGTGGTCACGTTTAACGATCTCTTAATTTACAAGCTTGACAAATTGCACGTGGAGATAAAGTTGAGATAAAGAAGGTAAATGGTGCACGATATAGCGTTAATGATTAATTCCAAGTAACCTTAGAAATAAAAGAAAAATAAAATTCCTGATTAATTAGCAATGAAAATGTTCGTAATTGGGTTTCATTAGCTCATAAATGTTTCCAAAAATAAAATAGCCACCGACTAAGATGCTATTAAAATAGTGGGATATTTTTAAGTATAGTATTAATGTAAGTTTTATAAAGCTGAAGCTTTAACGTAAAATTATTAACTTCCTAAAAATTAATTGAATTATTTACAATTTCAGGTGTGTTTTTTTTTAGTTGTTGCTTTTTTCTTTTTTTTATCCCAGAAAATTCTGATATTGCAGAAATAAAAACATAGCTTGAACATTGTAAGCGTAACATTATTTGGTCATTTTGTTGGGATTTAGTATCACCACTTAGCGCCAAAATTAATGTCACAAATGGTCAAGGTAAATTATTTCAATTATTCTAAGTAGGTATCATGTATAAGTAATTAATATGAAATCATCCGACTCAGTTGTAAGTCACGTAGGTAATTATATAAAACAATGCATGTCAAATTATAGGCAATGTCTTCGCATGTGGTTGTTGAATAAGTAGGTCATTATCGCGGTTTCACGCCTTGTCACGAGATTTCCCTAGGATTAGTCTCACCCCATGCCGAAACAGCACCGTACTCCGAGTGCGAGCATCCAGATGGTTTAACGAAAGAAAATCCACCTTCTGAAAGATATTACTTTCGATTTACTGCGTAAGAAATATGGTACAAGATATCTAGAAGTCTCATAAAGATTTTTCCCCTTGATTTATTTATACGAAATATGGTGCAAGATTTATATCATTCGTGAACTTATGGTAAAATACTCTTTCTTTCGATGAGTCTTTTCCGGTTTTTACTTTGCACATATGTAACATCTTACGTTGCTTTGAATTGTTTATGCAATTTAAAATAAAAGCGCTCTGCACTTTACAAAATTTTCATTTTACAGAAGTATTAAATCTCGGGTTTTTTTTTGCAATTGTCCACTTATAATATGATTTGAAGTCAGAATTCTTTATATGATATGTATTGTTCAGATTTGATATGTATCATTTTCTTTTAAACGGTATGAAACAATAAATGTACAAGTATTCTAGCAGTAATCTATGTTTGGCTAGAAACAAAGAAAAGTCTGCAAAATCTATTAAGGAACAGGTAGGTAACAAATGATATGATTAGATTACTATCTTCTCTATTACTTTTCGATTTCAGCACGCAAATTTACATACTAACTTTCAACTATTAATATATACGGCAGAGATAAGTTTTCCCTAGTGTCACAATTACGTAATACTAGTGTTATATCACTTTGTATCTATCTGTTCCCGCTGACAAGATGGTTATTCCGTGTATTTCTATCCAAATTATGCAAATTACTTAGGTATGATATAGTGTTCTTGTTGTCAGATTTTTATCAATGTACCCTTTTTGTTTATTTATTGTTTAGCATGTATCAATTATATTTTTTGAGTTAACAAGTTAGTTTTAGAAGCCATTTCAGATACATTCATTTGCAGTTGATAGAATGTCTTACCAACACTAATGATCGTATAAACACAATAATGTGAAGAGTTTCGTGAACTGATTATTAATGAGCCGCATTAATTATTTCGTAAATATTTCCTAGATATTTCATGGAAAATCTATATAGAAAATTATAAAGTAAAACATGAAAACAATATTTCTTTGTATTATTCGAAATTGACATCTGAATGCAGGGGCCAGGTACCCCGTGTCGGCGCAAAGTGGCCCCGCGGTGAATCCTGAATAACTCGGTGATTTGCAGAATAACCCACAATACATCTTGTTACATTCCAATCAGCGAGGATCAAAACCTTGCCATGTATACTGATAATTCCATCAATACTGTTTGTTAAGATATTTTGGCAGTTTTTGTAATGTATTTATGCCTTTGATTATGCAACAATAATGCCGGATCCACACCAACTGTTCTTTAAGAAATAGCCATATTTGACGCCATTATCGTCTCATTACTTTTAAGTTTTATGTTTTTGAAAAGAAATAAAAAATCGTTGTGGCAAGAAGTTCAAAGAAATTCTGCCAAAATGTTTATTATTCCCCGCATTACTCTATTAATATATAATTTGAATAAAATGATGACATCCTGTTTAAAAATATGAAGGAAAATTTATATCATGTAAATGGAAAGATTTGATGTAAAGTTTGCTCATGTACAAAAGACAGTAAACGAAAAATAAATCCACTGTTCAATTTTTTACTTTCTGAAATATCAAATTTGACCGGAAATAATTGTCGGTATTTTCTCATTACGTTTTTCTTCCGCTTAATTGACTCAAAAGTGTCCAGTCTGAAACTTAAGTGATCGATTGATGTTTAATTTTCTTTTTTAAAAAATTGAATTACGCAAACGTCTGACGGGGGATACCTGAGAATTGTAAGATCAACAAAGACTTGAATTTAGCGATACGACAGAAGGATTCACTTTTTATCAGATCAAAAAACATTCCATTAGACGGGAGTTTATGCCTTCGGCAAGGATGACCACTTGTTCCTTTATTCTTTATTATAGATTTTAACATGTGATTTTCTGCTGGTATCTTTCATTATCAAGATTTCAAATTATGTATTGTTGTTAAATTGAAAAGAGGGAAGAAATGTTTACTTAAGGTGTTAAACCTTACACATAGAGTGTTGCATCTTCAACAATATACGCTCGTTCTGTAAGGTGTGAAGAGTCGCTGATCAAAGTGATAGTGCGGTCGCTTCTTTAAACGTTACTGGTCAATCATTAAAAGTGATCTATTTAAATAAAGTCAGGTACCTATTACCAAATACATCATTTTGTTAAAAAAGTAACAAATCTGTCATTACACTACATGTAAATTGCGGTCATATGAAGACAATTCTGAAGGGAGGTGATTTAATCATCGCACCTGCTGACCATATTGAAAACGTTTCCGTTCCTAATGATTTATAGGAGATATGCTCTGTTTAAACTTAACTTCATCAGTTACAAAAATATATAATATATATCATAGCTATAACTGTACAGCTAAAAAAACTAAATTGCCGTTATTGAAATTATGAAAGGATTATAACAGTGCGTAAGGGAAGAACGAGTTAAATCATCAGAAATTGATAAGACCACTTTACTAAAGTGTTTCTTTTATTTCATTAAAATCATGAACAATTAAGTCATTTCAGATTTTTACACTTTTCATTTACTAGATCCAGGAAATGCAACTGTTCTTTTTATAACTCTTATCCATAAATTACAATTTAATGCAACTGCCATTTTTTTCGATGGGATGGATTTCATAAAGGTGTTGAAAGGTTGATCCGATTGTGGGCTATACTATATAAACCAATTAGATCAGAAAGGAAAGGCAAGGTATATGGGATTAGTAAGGATTTGTGGGTATATCGTGGGTATATAGCTTGCCCAGTGGTGGTCTCACTTACTAGTGTCATTCTTTAACACTTATTACGTGACCATAATCCAACTTTCCGTTACATATGATGGACAGATTTTTTCATAGCGCATCTATGCATTTCGCGCGTTTTTTTTCTTTACTTTTTATATTTAAGAACATATAATCAATATTTAGTCTTTTATCTTTTTATTCCGTTTTGTATAATTGCTAAGAAAGAAATTTTCTCCATTAATTTAATCGTAAAATTCTTTTTGAAAAAAAACTAATTTAATTGAATATAATATTTCATTTATATATCTCGCATTATTTTTTATATTTTGTAAGAATTGAAATAAAATACAAGCATCTAAAATATTTCAAATATCATTTTGTCACCATAGTTACGTCTTGTATATTCAGAATCTGAAACGGTAGTTGTGTACTTAGCAATCAGCGGCACGCGCCTCGCGCGAGATTCTTGTTTGACATCCCTTTCAAATTCGCCGCTGATGCGTCTTAAACAAACATGCGGCATGCTTCAAAAACGTTTATTACCCTCGGATATGTATTTAAGGGTGTTAAACAGTAGCTTTCATATTGGCGAGATTTCTATTGTTTATTAATTAACGACTAATCAAGAATTTGTGTGTTTTAGCAATTGTTGTTCTTATTAGAAGATATAAAATTTAAAACTTTTAAGTTATTCCTTTATCAGATATTTCAATAGCAAATGTAAATTCTTGAGCAATCTTGAAAAATCTTGAATAAGAAATTTGTTCCTGAAAATTATGCGTAATATAGTCAGAGAGTGGGAGCGCTTTTAAAGTCATAAATTAACCAAACATATAACTGTTTTATTAAATTAATGCTACGACATAAAAAAATCATATTTGATAAAGACAAATTGTCATCAGAATTTGAAAATTTGTATAATATAAGTATCTAAAATTTTAAAATCTAGATCTTTAACATTTAAAAATGAATGAATGAATGAATGAATGAATGAATGAATGAATGAATGAATGAATGAATGAATGAATGAATGAATGAATGAATGAATGAATGAATGAATGAATGAATGAATGAATGAATGAATCAATGAATGAATGAATGAATGAATGAATCAATGAATGAATGAATGAATGAATGAATGAATGAATGAAATATATAAATAGATAGATAAACTTACATCATCTTCTGTCAGTTTAGAGTAGACTTCCAGCTTATCAAGCCTGACAGTCCCCTGGTCTGGGTAGAACCGAGTCCCTTGTGGCAACGTCTTGTTGCTCCATAAAGCAACATTCATTTCTAAAATGTTCTTTGGGTTCGGATGTAGAGTAAGAACCAAGCTGAACTCCTCCGGAATCAAAACACACGTATCCATTCTCAGTTAAAGCAGTTATTTTATCTTAGTTATATCTAAATCAGTCTTTTGTTGGTTATTAATGTAACAACTAAGAGCGAATTTTAAAACTTTCAAAATTAGATATATTTTTTAAAGAACACTATGTTCTCGTGACGCTATGACATCATGCACGTGGGTAAATCACGACAAGACTAATTTGTGATTTTTTGGAAGCACCACTTTTCAGCTTCCCAAAGATTACATCAAACCCACTAAGTTGAAAGTGATTGACAGTTGCTCCGCCCACGGACACCTATGGATAATGTGTTACGTAATGTAAGATTGACCGATGTCCGGAATACTGGGTTTTCATTGGTCAGTCATTTACAATGCAATTGAACGTAATCGCGCGCATCTTTTATCGCTTGATATCCCAACAGGAATAATTTTAGCCTTTTGATGAATTTCTTTTGACTTCTGTTTATTTTCTCAATAAATATCATTAATTGTTAGAATTAACTATTAAGTGTTTCATTTATTTGCGTTTATTTATGTTATTGTAACGAAGTTTGAGGTTTCGTACAATTTCTTGACAAAAAAGGTGGATAAGGCATATATAATAAGTTTAACACCGCGTGAAATATTCAAATTAAGTTCGGTTTCGTTTGACAATGATTTAAGCCATTGTTTTATTATGAAATTAAAAATCGCTTACAAGTTATCAACAGAAACACAAGAAAAAAAGAAAGATATTTATCTATAAAATATAATCAAGATATTACTACACCGAACACTGATCAACGAAATAATATTTAGTTTTTGTTTATAAATGATAATGTAAATTCTTTCTTTAAATTTATTATTACAATCTTTTAACGGAATAAGCCACAGCCACCCATGCCTTGACCACTTATGAACTTTCCTAAGTTATATAATTGGTTTTAACATATTTATTCCCAAAAGTATAATATAAATGTACATACCAATAAATAACAAGCAAAATATTTTTACATAATGGGAAAGGATCAGAACGAAGGACTAGTCATATAGAATTTTTCTCCCTAATTTATATAATTGATCACAAGGAAAGACTACCATCTATTAAAAATCTATGATCAGTCACATTTTCAAGAAGATATCACCTCTTGACTACATCAGTAGACCTGGGACGTCCACATTATTATGACCTTAGCTGTGCACGTGTAAAACGCGAACCCAATAACAAATTAGAAGTCAGTACATATATATTCCGAACGCTTTCAATTCATTAAACGAGACTTGATAGTACATTTATTATGGGACAAAAATATTAAAATTGGCCCCAGATTTATTTTAATCCTTACATCAAACTTTACTTTTTTTACATTTTTATTTATTAATTTCACATATCTGAGCTGATACAGATATTTAAACATTTATAATACTGCAAGTTTTGTAACGTCGCTTTGGTTAAGACATATTTATTTACAGAAAATTTATACAATATCATGATAAAGTGGATTGAACTGAACGCTAAAAGCTTTTTGTAATTCTCTCCACTTCTAGCTACACATCGGTGCAAAATTGTTACATCAGAAAATAAGACAGAATTAAAACAAAAAGAATGTGAAATTAATATAATCTCTACACCTGGCTGTCGTTTATTGTTGAAGTAATTTTCATATTTTTTCCAAATGACGGAATTGTGCCGTAACGGTATCATTAGCTCTTAAGATGTTTTACTGATTATATGTGTTTAAATAACTGTATGATGACATAACCATTGTCTAGTGGATATGGTTATATAACCTTTCTACAATTCATAAACACAGAACATGTAATTCATAAAAAAAGATATCTGTATAACTTAAGTTTGAAATTGAATCAGTTTCATATCATGAAGTAATATATGTTTTAACAAAATGATTTGAATAACGATAAACGGGGTGAAAGTTAAAATGATTGTGCCATTATTTATTAGGAGAAATAGAAATTTAGAATGTAATGAAAGACAGACACAAAACATGAACATAGAACAGATTTTTACAGTTGAGCATTTTCTTGTATCCATAACATGATATACTTTATTGTGTCAAAATATGTACACAGTATCAAACTTATGCAAGTCATTGACAGGGACTAGGACCTGTAGAAGATTTGACGACCTCAACAGAATAAGATTATGACCTTGTAGGGTATATCCTAGCGTCAATCTATCGGCTTCTCAGAACGTCGGTGAACCCAGCGACCCATGTCCTAACTTAATGCCGGGGGTGGTACTAGTTAAAGTTCATGTTTAATGAGGGTCCATCCGCCCGTTAAGGCACAAAAATGCAACTTTCGCAATCGAGTACGCTATGTCACCAGTCCTACCATTTTGAAGTACAAAGTGATGATAATTAACCACCGTGCAAATTCCACGGAGTGAGAACCAAAGAAATGAAGAATAGATTGCACGACCCACATCAAGCATAGATTGCAGTTGTGCATATTAGAAAAGAAGGTATAGAGAATGAAGTAAAAATTCTAAGATATATATAAAGTTAGCTTTAGTAGTTCAAATATTTATAACGGTAACACATAGACAAAACGTTTTACATAAACAACAAAACGAAGAAAAATACAAGTAAATTAGACAAATAATATAATAACAAATTGTCCATTTGTAAAGTAAGTGGTTAAAAGAAACAACTTCTCAACAACATGGAGAAACAATTTATTTTTTTATTTTTATTTACTTTAATTCGACACAAATTAAGCCAGATGCAATAAAATTAGAATGTTATGATATATTTCAATTGTTATTTAAACATTGCACAAGAATAACATAATGTTTAAATTCCTTTCATTCTGTATTTACAGTTACGCATTCCATAAATTATTTTTGATAAAAATCAAACAATTTTATTAGACAATGATTGACGTGATTTTATACAAAGATCGATAATCGATATAGATCTAGGTTATTTCTCAGGTTTTACATGTATCAATAATTTTAAACAAATTGTGGGCGGTGTTATTCCCCCCCATCGATATGATAACAACTTAAAATTTATTTCGATACTTTTCGGACTTTTATCTACTGTGTAGATCGGGAGATAAGACGCTGGGTGTGAATTATCCCACAAAAAGAGCGATAATTTATAGTATAATATTTTTATTGTCCATTTGTTAACAGGCAATATATCGGTCTGTGATAATGTTAACTGTTTTGAACAATTAAAGATTCACCTGTCGGCGGAACATCTTTAATGTTATCGATAAAAATTGCGATATCATTATATAGCAAATTAACAACCCTTAAATTCCGCTAAATAACTTCACATTTAATTGATAGTAAAGATTCCTCGTATATTAATAGACAGGTAGAAATTATTTAAATACGATTTATTATTTCAAATTTTATCATTGCAAACAGTTATATTTTATGATCTTCTAGCCTGTTGAGTTAAACTTTTCTGTACAATAAAAAACGAATATTATTAAATCATGTCGAGGTAATAAATCTGGTATATGAACAAGGTGGACACTTTTAGTTAATTAACTCTCAATCTTTTTTCCACAAACTCGTGATATCAAGCCTTTTAATGGATGGTTTTGACAGAGATTTTTAATGTATCTTCATGGTCGTAGGCCCCTACATGGACCATATTTTAATTATATTTCAATATGTTAGAACAGCAATAAAATGACGTTTATTTATTTATTTTTATAAACTTAAATTATCGTGCATAATATTGAGTACTAACATCAACACTTCTATACCATGATGAAAGGAAACGGTTGAATTGTGTTCGCCCAAATCTCCTATTGAACTTTTCAGATTGTTGTCGATATTCTCTAAACAAAAAGAAATGAAAATGAAGACGTTTGACGCGTTATAGGTTTATCTTCTTTTCGATGACGCGTTGAAGTGAATCAGCGAGATATCATTTATATCCCACTGAATGAAATTGAGTGAAATATAGAATTTTGACTCCCTCTTGGTCAATGAAATCGTATAACAAACTAGAACGCGCAAGGAATATTCCAATGACGTCACATCTCCATAATTTCTTGAGCGTCATTAATTTCGGTGCAATGAAATTGGTACTGTGTGTGCAAAAACTATTAGAATATTTCTCTTTGTACTTTTCGACATTGTTTCATCAATTCTTTAAAAAATACAAACATACACATTTTGTGTGAATGTTACCCGCAAAATTATTGTCCCATTTGAAATTCCGGTTGAATTTTTGAGTATCTGTAAAAACTGTAAGTACATGGGTAGAAAATAAGGTATAGGCGACAACAATTCTTTATTCCACATAGGCTGCAACAGGTCTCGTACGTAAGTATAGGGATATTTTAAAGAACTACCAGAAAAACACATGTGAAGTGAGGTGTTTAGGCTTCCATATTGTCAGTACGCGTTACCATTAAACTTGTTTGTTTAATGTGAATATGATATGGAATTATTTCTTTATCTGACGTAAGAACTTCGCTCTCTTGAAAACATAAATTCTCACTTCTTAGTAAGATACATTCCAAAATTGAATGCATTCAAAGCCAACAAATGCTCTAGATTTTATACATATAAATTAAGGCCAACTTTGAGACAAACGTTATTATGAAATTGACAATTAAGGTCCGTGATGAAACTTAGTTCGATAATAATAAAGATAATCCAGTTTTCAATTTGTTCCACTACAACATGAAAAAAAAAATTCGAAAGTATATAAAATATGGTAGAAATGAATGAGGTAATTTTTATATAAAAGATGTCAGCCAATAATCTATTTAATCACCCAATAATGCATGACCAGGAAAAAATAAAATACACTTTCGTTTAGTTATCTCGTAGATTTACTGATATCATATAAGAACTAGTCAAGAATAATGCATATACATGTCTGTACAATTGCTGTATTACAGATTTAACGACAAAATGAATTTAACGATTCTTTTAATGGAATCTAAATTATATTACAAATAATTAAATTGAACGAAAGTGAATGCTTATTTCTTCAGAGCAGTTCATGGGCTTATTTCTTTGTAGACCTATCGTTCGTAATACATGAAATATATTGTAGATATACTATTCGTCCCTCGTGCATGACAGTTAACACATTGACAGTCCAAGGTTCTAACCAATCACATGATAGTTCCCGAAACATTGCACGAGAGCCACTCGCCACATTTCTAAAATATCGTTATATTGGTCTTATCTCTTTTTCATGAAAGTTTAAATTTCGAGAGAAAAAATGTTAAAAGGGTTCCATTTTAGCTGGGTTCCCCTAATATTGTATATTTTTGCAATAATCATTGGAATGATGTTTTTATTTTCAATAAAGATACTTTAGTATTTAAATTCGTTTTGTTTATTACACTTTTATAGACCTGTGTCATGCTTAATTATACAAAGACTTTTGCGGCAAATACATATTTATGATGGTGTTCATTTATGATGCCGTCCGGTTAGCTCAAAAGGTAGAGCGTTGGATTGTCAATCGGGCGACCCGGGTTTGATTCCCGGGCGGTGCAGGTCACTTTCGTTGTGATTGATCATAAAATCCTTTCTACGGTCATTCGTATTGTACCTCTGATCTGGCAAGTAATCAGTTCCTCGCGAAAGTGAAGGCAACTAGTACCGGTAAACTTCTTGACAGCCTGCTCAGGAACCATACGGTGGCTGAACTGACCTCTGGTAAATTCAATGTGGCTTACTGCCGTGATCCAGGTTGAAAACTACCTACCAACCAACATATTTGTGAGGACTATATTGGTCATTGACATTGACCTTTGACATGTATGACGGTATGCAACAGAATGGCGTCCCGTTGGTAATACCACTGTCGCATTCCAAATTATTTGTATTTTTCTAAGCTAACAAGCCAATTTATATTTTCTAAACGACGCAGGATCCATTTTACTCAATCACTAATGGCAACCTCTGAAATGACCCTTTAATCTCCCATTTATTTGAATTTAAAGGGCTTCTTGAGTTTAAAATACGCCACGACAGTCACCCTGAGGGACGGGTCAGTTGTTTCGATTGTGCAGTGGGCGTAATTGTAGCAAAATATTGGCCTCGTGAGGAGAAAGCTTCTTTACAATCTAATTAAAACTTGTTCACTGTTCATTACCAGTGGTCGTTACTCTTTATTAATGCTCGAAGGAACTTTATCATTCTTTGATGTGAATCCGATGACAATAGATTGGACAACACTTGGTCAATTTTGAAAAGTGCCCGGACACCACTTACCGAGTCGCGTGCCGTGACGTTTGTCGTATGACGTAACATTTTTTCAAGATGGCCGAAAAGAAGCGTCGTAGTGGAAGAATGTGCATAATGCACAGAATATCGGATTAAATCTGGACTGTGGGCATGCCATCTGTCAACTGTGGACAATGTAATGATATTTACTGATAATATCTAAACAACAATGCATCGTTATAATGTACGGTAGTTATCCTTTCCTGAATGTATAATATAGAAAATAGATCGTAGACTAGTAGACTTTAGAACTATTAAATCTTCATGCATTCTATGAATCATTCTGGAAAGCATAATGCATAAAAAACATAAATTTCGATTCGATGTAAATACGTTACATGTATTTCAATGGCGCGATTTACTATAATATCATCAGGTCTTTAACTGTACCGCCAACACCAATGTTCATCTTCTTAAAAATCCTATATTTCTTACATTAAATGAACAATGCCACAAAATAGATTTATATTTATAATGATGTGTAAATTAATAAAATGGTTAAATTACCATGTTATTCAGAACTGTACAACTGGTTAAATTTTTATACAAATCTATTCTTATTAGAAAATGAGGAAAATAGAATTTATGCATAAATAATATAGTATATAGAGCTAATGAACTCTTTTGATAAGAATTATGTATACTAAAATAATACAACGGAAAACTTTTTTATTCTAAGATCTAGAAATAAATTATAAATTACAAATTTTTCTTATCGTCTGTTTGGTGACTGTTTTTTTTTTTGCACAAAAGTACTATATTTTCTTATCCATATGCACGAAAAATAAGATTGAATTAAAGAAAGATAACTCCAGTAGAATACCAATGAGTCATTACAGAGTTATTCAGCATTACATATAATAGCCAATACATGAAGCGCGCCCATTAGTTAAATGGTGTGTGCATATGTGAAAGTCAAAATAACTTTATTATATTTTACTAAGAAAAAATAATCAATTATGTGAGTGATCTAAAATCATTTTTAATGAATAATATTATACATGTACATGTAGTTCAGAAATTATCGATTACGTTCTATTTTTAAAAAAGAGTTGGAAAGTCTTTTTATAATTTTGGTAGTTTTTTATCCTAAACTTTTTATTCTAATTTATTGGCCATTTCACTATTATGATTATCTGCCTCTTGAAATGAGCCGTGTCACGACAAAACCAACATAATGGGTTTGCGACCAGCATGGGTCCAGACCAACCTGCGCATCCGCGCAGTCTAATCAAAATCCATGCTGTTCGCTATCAGTTTCTTTACTTGTTATAGGGTGTGTAAGCGAACAGCATGGATCCTGATCAGACTGCGCGGATGCGCAGGCTGGTCTGGATCCATGCTGGTCGCAAATCCATTATGTTGGTTTTTTCGTGACACGGCTCAAATATATTACTAATTTAAATCAACTTTACAGCGAAAACAATGAACATAATATCACTTTAAAACAACAATTTTACATGTGCATGTTTATTGTCATTAAAGAATATCATGAATGAGTCACATCCGCACGTGGAAAAATATGTGATTTTGTTTCTGGTAATTTTTTTCTGTACTGCATTGTATCTCTACTTATAGATTTTATTTCCTTAGTTTCAATAATGATTAAATAAATAACAGGGATAAATAATTAAAGGAGTCGCGTCACGACAAAACCAACGTAATGCGTTTGCCGCCAGCATGGATCCAGACCAGCCTGCGCATCCTGATCAGGATCCATGCTGTTTGCTATCAGTTTCTCTACTTGTAATATGGTTTGTAAGCGAACAGCATATGGTGGTGGCAATCGCATTACGTTGGTTTTGTCGTGACGCGGCTCAAATATTGATTTCTTTTCATGTACCTTAGATATTTTTGTTCGCTTATTTCGAAAATAAAGATGTAGCACATACAATGCATTAGATCAAGAAAAGTGTTATGGACAACTGACACGTGGCATTTCTATTAAATTATTTATCTTGTTCAAAAATCTGATTTATTTTGTTACTGTACGGTATGTTTACAACAGTTTCAAGAGTTTATTTCTGAATACATCCGGGCATTAAGCACATGCGTACACAGTACGGGTAGCAAAAAAGCATAAATTTTTGTCAAATGGTCAATGCCAAAACTTTATAAACATGTATCATTAAGTTGCATAATATTTCTAGCATTAAGAAAACGTGAACGAAAAATACTATCACTTTTTGACACAAGAAAACAACATGTCTCGAACTTTAATGATATTAGTGGTAAATAAATACTTAAGACAGATATCATTCTATCATTAAGCGTATTTACGCAAAACAAAACACAAATTGTATGTATATGATATACACTTCTTACACACATAATTGAGCCGTGTCACGACAAAATCAACATAATGGGTTTGCGACCAGCATAGATCCAGGCCAGCCTGCGCATCCGCGCAGTCTGATCAGGATCCATGCTGTTTGCTTACCAACCTACTACAAGTAGAGAAACTGATAGCGAACAGCATCGATCCTGATCAAAATGCGCGGATGCGCAGGCTGGTCTGGATCCATGCTTGTCGCAAACGCACTATGTTGGTTTTGTCGTGACGCGGCTCAATTATGTGTATCTATGATTAGTCGCCGGTAGAAACCGGCGACTATATTTGTAACAGTTTAATATTATATCTATGGTAGGAGAAGGCCTTAAAATCTGAAAATAAAAGCAAATCAATTACTGAACAATTAAGGACCACAATTATTTTTCAGAATCTTAAAAATTCAAAAATAAATTAACGTTGCTAAATGAAATGAAATATACAAATATTGACATCTTAAAAAGCAACATTACAATTTTCATAAAATGAATTAATAACGTATCCCTATGGACCAGTCATTGAATTTAGGGATACTTTTACTTTTTTCTAAGTGTCAAGCGTTGCTATTTTATGATTGATAAATCATGAATGATATTTAAAATGACACATTTAAATTATCTGGTTGTTTTATATCTTATGACACCTATTATATTTCATTATTTTATCTAATTATAAACAGATTCTCCCTGTTCTATTGTAAGAATCACGTGACTACACGTTGTATGTTAGTGTTATAGAATCTATTAATAGTAACAGATTGCTGATAAGACATACTAGTTGGAAAACGGTATGGGGGCTAATTAGATGCAAATGTATAAATAATTACAAAGTTATCTTTCATTAATCAGTTTCATATTTTATATCATTAGAAAGGATTAGTACATTAAAGAATTAAATAAATTTTCAAAACCTTTTCATTTTATCTTGGTAAAGGGTTAAATTTTGCCCTTTCTGTCAATGTTCAATAGTTTAGTTTAGGTTGAACATCACAAAATAGATTTATGCTAAAGAGGCACATTTATTGAAATAAATAGTGGTAATCGTCGTCTTCGTTATATTCCGTCGATTTCCGTCGCGCAGGTTACCAAAACGGTACGACACATAATAATGAAAACTAATAAAATATCTTTTTGTTAATATTTTATCGAACTGAAAGGCAATTAAACGTTAACTATATCGTATGTAACGACAGGAATATTTATTTCAACTAAATAGCTTATTTTTTTCGATAGCGCAAAAAAATAGTTTTATGAAAACTGCAAAAGGGATTTTCAAAGATTCGAATTTGGCCTACTAGGTCACAACTTCGTCCTATACTTACCACATATTAATTAATTTAATATCGAGATCTATACTATCAATAAAATCTTTAGCATAAATCATAATAAATTACGTAAACTAACGTACGAAATACTTGCTTAATAATCATAGCAGTTCCTTAACAATATTGCTAAGCAAGTTTGCTTCATATATGATGTTTTATTGTGAATAAACAGTTACTCAACATAAATTGTTCCTCTTTTCTTTATACCTGAACCATTAATTAAACTGATTGTTTTTATATTTATGATAATACAGTCATTTTCTATCCGGCGACTTGATGCTTTAGCATCAAAATCTCTACTTGTGCTTTATTGTATTGTCTTAATTTGCTACTTTCGTTAACAAAATAAAACGCATTATGTTGGTTTTGGTGTGACGCGGCTCTTATATTTATATTATATTGTGTAGATATCTATCGAGTGTTTACATATAAGGCTTTGCTATTAGTGCGGGACTCGGCTTGAGCGAGCGTGTTTTCGTATATATGTGGCCTGGTATTCTGTTGACCTTGACCTTCGCCCAGATCTTTTACCAAGGGATTCCTGCCTACAACAACCAACTCGTAGGATTCTTCTTCTTCACGAAGTGGCTTGGAGGATGATTTGTTTATTTTACTAAGGTTATCGGACATTTTAAGGTAATGTTCCGCACCGGAAGCGTACGTCTGACGTCCTTGACATTGTGTCGTTGAATGCTCTGATGACAATGGCGCATGGTCGTCATTTTTTTGAAGCTGAGTTTTTTGTGCCAGGCGATATCTAAATCAAAATGGAATAGTGAAATGACAAATAAAGAAGAGATAAAATGACAAATCAAGAAGAGATAATATACAAATTAAGAAGAGATATTGATAAAATTGTTACAGTTAAAATGGTCATCCAGTCATGACCCCATTGACCTCTGCAATCGTACTTAAGACATTCAGATACTTTTAAAGAGGTCTTTAACGTCAAACAAAAATATCATGCATAAACGACCTAAAACAAATTATTTGAAACATATTTTTTATTATTCTTGAATGGATTTATGGAACACTTTTCCTTTCTTCAACTTTTAAATTGTTTAAATCGCATTTCAAACATGTATTATTATCAAAAGATGAATATATAGACAATATATCTATACTATAAATATAATGTTATGTCTGTCTTCTTTGTTAGTTAAGATGTACTGAATGTTGTGATTTTTATAATTGTTTGTAATATGTCTGTTGTTATGTTTATTGAAGACCTTATTGAAAATAAGATTTTGTATTATATGTGTTATCTCTTATGCTTTGTTGTATTGTCTTAAAAAAAACGTATGACGTATGGACACAAATCTTTGTACTAACGTATGACTTTTATTCTGAGATAAACATATGCCATTGACTAACTGTTGTAACTTAATATATAAAATGTAGATGTGATAAATACCTCTTAAAAGCAACCAGCATAATAACTGCTCCGGAAATGAGAAGTAAAGTTCCTGTCACGGACAAAACAATTGCAACTGGAAAAGAAATGTCAGATTCTTACATGTGGCATTTCCCCCCGTTTATTATCAGTGAATTGACAATGAATATTTTTTTTATACAAATGATTAAAAAAAACTCGAAATTGAAAGCGTTTGGGGTATATAAGATTTGTTATTATGATATAAATTTATCTTTTATTTCATGATACTTGAATTTGTAATAGTTTAAATGAATGCGACATCAATGTTTTCTTCTTCCGACACCATGCGGTGACGTTGCTGTCTCGTGACGACGATTTTACGAGCTCATGGATCTTAATGACGTAAATGAGTCAGGTTATTTTCATTTGATTTTACGTCCTCTCTTTCGTGTTGAAATCTTTATTTCTTTATCTGTTAGTTATGGTGTCTGGTTTCGAACACCTTTGTGCGTCGTGTTGTCGCTAGCGCCAGAACGACAAAGCACCAAACGGCACATTGTCGGACTTTCGTCTTGTCGTCCTGTCGCTTACGATGCACACCAAACGAACGGCGCGTTGTCGTGCGGTATGTTGCCGCGATGTCACATTGTCGTTTGGCTCAAATCAAAGGATTGGCTATTTGCATATATATAATCAAAGCGACAGGGCGATATAGCGACAACGCACCGCACGGCAACGCGTCGTTTGGCGTGCTTCGCTAGCGAGAGGACGACAAGACCACAGTCCGACAACTCGCGTTTCGCTGGCGTCAAGGCGAAAAGGCGATAACGATATAGGTTGTGTTGTCGCTATCGGCAAGGCAACGCGCAAACGGTACCAAATCAGCCACCATAGCAAGTTCCTTTACAGAAATTACTTTTATATGAGTAAGTTACCTGCATGAGATTTCCGGGTACCATAATCTGTCGAAGAAACTGATGACATTGCACATGTTACTTTAAATTTCCCGACATCTGAACTTGAGGATAAATTTGGATCTGCAAGTATTCCACGTGGTCAACATGACTCATTTCACGTCATTAGTCAGACATTTATTATAATACCAAATTCAGTTTAGATTTTCATGTACACAAACATTATATTTACTATCTTTTTAAAAGATCGCATTTAAGCATGAAATCAGTACCGGGAAAAAACACCAACATATAGCACCCTTTAATAACCAGGGGCCCGTCTTTTGATCATAAGCTTACCTTATTTTAAGTCTGAATGTAGATAAAAGATAAAAAGGAATAACATTATGGAAGATTAAGTTAAAATTATTACAAACAAGAATATTTGGTATCATAGAAACAGTTTTTCAATCATACGAAAACTGTATGTAAGGAATTTTGGTAAAATACTGAAAATAAATGAAGAAGAAAAAATAACAACAAAACAACAAACAAACCAACCTTTTGCTATCTTTAAGCATACTCCTCCTTTGACAAAGCTCAACCTTGTGGGAAAAACCAGTTTTGTTTCATACCTCAATGTTGTTAGACGGGTTGTTTTATTGTTGATAGCAAATTGAAAGTTTTTTGCATTTGAACCATTTGAACTATCGACGTATTCAATGATTACATGAATATCTTTGTGATTTGAAGAAATCGTGCAATGGCACGGGTTTTCATTTAACGGTTGATCACGAGCGGTATCGATAAAAACGGTTGTCGTGTCGGGCACCTTGCCGTCCTTGCAAATACGCAGAACTGTGAAGAAAGAGCATACATATTGTACATAACTTACAGTGACTCGTCATTAAAAAAAAATCTTTTTTTTTTCACTCCGAGCCAAAATTTTTATCACGATGTTTTTTTTAAATGTTTAAAAGACTATATCCCTCAATAATTTTAATTTGTACCAATATTTGTTTATTGTTTATATCGGAAAAAAACACACACCAATAAGATGTAAATTTCTTTTTAAAACTTTTAAAACATATTTAACTGTTACAGGAAATATAGGATATATTGTTCTTAGTATCAACTATTTTCTAATTATCTTGTCAACAAATTAAGTGCTCACCTGGCTTTCTGTCGCCACAAAATCTGTGCGTTTCTGAAAAAAAAACATCCAATCTTTTTGAATAATTTCAATTTCAACTTAGAAAAAAGACTCCAAGTAATAATAAGTCAGCGCTTTTTAATGAAAAAGTAAAAACTTTGAAACAACTGAAAAGGATAAAAAGTTAAACATACCACATGAAGTCCACATGTAAGAAAAAACGCAGATTAGAATAAATTTGTCAAAATAAGTACTCATGTTAAATTTTAAATCTAAACAAGCCTCGTTAAATCATGTCTGCACGGTAGTGGCTTAGCACTAAATTTCCTGGTCAGTGGACCTTGCTCTTGCAAAGTGTGACCCCCGTATGTGTCAGTTCCACATTCAGCATTGTGTTCTATTATATATGAAAGTGAGGAAGTTAATTTTAAAATAACTTTAGTATACATTATAAATACATGACACAATATGAACTTTCAGAATGCGTATAGATCTGAAGAATGCATCAAAATTGCACCATGACATTCACAAGTAGCTTTCACCTAGAATAATTAATGAATAGTTAAATACAAGAACCAATGTTGCATTAAATGGTTCACGCAACATTTTATAGTACAATGGAAGAGGGAAAAAATACATTTGTTTAAAGAAGAATCTTATGATAATTTTTACTATAATGTTTCACAAATTTGCGAAATCTGCATCTTATACCTCAAATAATATTGTACATGTATAACAATTTTAGCCATTGTTCGTTGTTATTGTTGTGTTGTTGTTGTTGTTGTTGTTGTTAACATCGGATAAAATTGGTCATTGCGGGCATTTAAACTAGATCGTATAACTCATCAATTTATATTATGGGTTGGTCCTAATGATTTATATTTTTCTACAATGGCACAAAAGGGCTTGGATAAAATTTTCAATCCCATAAATAGGTTTAATCTTACGTAATATTCTGTCCAACGAGTGATATGTTATAAGTAATATAGCGCGCATCTATCATATATTATGTGCTAAAGTATAAACATGTATACAGAAAATGCAACTAAGAGACACAACTCTAAAATCCATATTTAATAATATTGATATATTTACCTCCCTTATATTAACAAAAATGAAATCAGAATAAAACGATAATTGTTATTAAAGTCTTATCATACATAACATATAAAATTATTTCAATTACATTATTTTATAAGTGTGTATTGCAATTCTATTCTGAATTAAGTAACATAATGTGTCCATACTGCAAGGATTTCCAATATGCATTGCAGAGTTACCTCTCTTTTTACCTCAATTCCAAGTTTATTTACACAAGGTTAGCTTTTAAAAAAGCTAGCAGCGACTCGCTTCGTAATTTTTTTTCCAGGGTAGTGTTTAAATGTAAAAATGACAGTTCTGTTAGCTGAAGAGACTTCAGCAAACATCAAAATAAAAGTGACATATAAAGTTATGGAAGCCAGTTCTCTCAGTTTAACAAAGAGGAATATGAGTATATATGAAGATGCATGTAAACAGATAGAATGAAGTCCCTATGTCTATGCACATTTACTATATGGCCTGTTGACCTTGACCAAAAAAAATGTTAGATAGGTAGAATTCATAAAGATGTCTCTTTATACGAAGTTAAGTTGTAATATGTTATTTAGTATTGGAATGAGTGAAAGACAAGTCCTATGCAGGAATATATTACTGAAGAACTCTCTTGGGTGTGGGCGAATTTAGATTCATGGGGCATGATTAACATTTGATTTGTACAAGTTCTCAAGGCATTGGTACATATTCAATATTAAAGCTGGAGGCATTGAAGTTTATATCAATAAGACTTAAACATATTTTCCCTAAGCATTTTAATAAAAATTATGTCCACTTCGTATGTGAATCATTTTAAACAAATGGATATGATGTAGATACATGAACAAAATTTTTAAGTGGTCATCAAGGCAATACCACATGCCAAATATTTAAGGTTTAGGCATTAATAAGGTATAAAGGTGTGCGTATATGTTTCTATATAAGACGTGTCCTTGACCTATGTGTAGAACAAATTGAACAACTATGAAAGAGGACTCCTTTAGTGTGGTTAATGTGCAGTCTTTGGTTTCATAGATATCATTTAAAGATAAACTAAATAAGGGTCAACAGATGAATAGGGATCCCAATTCCTGTTTATGCTCACCAGAGCACAACTTGCCCATAGTGAGCATAAAAGGGAATTATATTGTAAAAGGGCTTGGTATAATGATCATCTCCTGTACAAAGATTCAACGACAATAATCAACACAAATATACATGTAGTTTATTCCTTTTCCCTATATATCTAATACTATCCCGGATCCCGGGCGTCCCGGATCCCGGGATTTTCCCCCACCGGAAAGGATAAAATGACCGGAAAAAAAGAAAAAGAAAGAAATGCACAGAACCAGATGTACAGTTATGTTAATTAACCAAACGAAAACTTACTACAGAGAAAACAGATGAAATCGCTAAATCAAAAGTCAGTGTAAATATGATTTATTGAAAAGAATTCATGAAAACAAACATTTTAATCATCATTATATCTTTGCGCTCAAAGCAATACTTGCTGTTTTTTAAAAATGAAGTGAAAATTGAAGGTTTTTTGACGCTATGTAAGATTAAATTTGATTGGCTAAATAATTATAGATTCCAGCCCGGGCAGATAAATTTTGTAGAAAGCTGGAAGCCAAGCTTCGATTAAATTTGTGGATGGATTCGGAGTTTTAGGTTGTTTCTCAGTAAAATCCTAACGTAATACCGGCTCGCCGTGGCGAGCCGGCAAAATTATTACAAATAAAGTAAGAAACCATTGCTAATCTGAAAAGTCTTGTAATAATTATTACTTCGTACGAAATACCCTAGCAATGTTGTCTAATTGAGAACAATTACCATAAAAATTTCTTGAACTTATAGGCAACTGATTATTATACATAATTGAAAAAGAATTATTTCCCTAAAAACTGAGGAGCAGTCAATTATCACAAAACTAAGTATTCTTTCCCTAAAAACTGAGGAGCAGTCAATAATCACAAAACTAAGTTTTTGTATACGCTGGTCAAGGGTATAATATTCAATTCAAATCTTTTATTCATTGAAAACACATTTTCATATGAATATAAACAGCTAACAAAACAACAAAAACTTCATCAAACATAGGTAATAAACAATTACAAGATTGACACAATTTCAACACTTATAATGAATAATAATTGTAAAAAGGTCTATATGCAATTGTTGTTATACCAAATGTTGTAAAAAAGAAAATAACAAAATTAAGAGAATGACAAGTTACCAAAAAAGATCTCATTTAACAACTAATTGGATTTTCTGACAAAGTAAAGCTAATTTTGGTAATTAAACATGATCTTAACTGTTCATTAGTTCAGTCAATTTATAGGCATTTGAGTGACAATGATAATATTTTCTCAACATTTTTGTTCTAATTTCTTTAAAAGAATCACATTCAAGCAAATAATGAAATTCATCACCAATTACATTTTTATTACAATGAGTACGGGTTCTAAGATTTCTTTCAATGCCAAGATGGCGGCCCTTTTCTACGGGGAGATGGTGATTTGTAGTTCTAAATTTGCAAAGATATTGCATAAGATCAACATGTAGTTCGTCTAAATATTCTTCAAACTTTCATTCCTTTTTAAACACACGATAAACTAAACATTTAGGAGATGTATCCACTATGTTGTACCATTTATTCAAAACAACTTTGAACTTTAACAAATTACAAACATTCTGATTTATAAAATACTCAGAAAGTCCCAAATCATCATGAGTTTTCTTGACAAAGTTTATCCATGGAAACTTACACATATTGTTAGAATGTAATGCTAGACCAGTATTGTAGACTATTTTACATATTTTGTCACTTCTAAATGACAAAAGCTTTGACCAGTAGCAAAGCACTCTTAAGTGAATTTGTATAGACTAATTCACCATAAATCATACAGTTCGGTGTAGATTGTTTAAGACCCAGAATTAGTTTGATATATTTAAGTTGAAACTTCAACATTATATCAATACAAATATACTTGATTACAACAACAACAACATCAGCTTTTTATTTGCATAAATGTTATAACAACATTTTAGCAACATAGTTCACATAAAATAATGTTAACAGTGGCACAAGTTCAAATACAAGAAAGTACAAAATGGTTAGCGCGGGAAGCCCTTACAGATGAATTTTATGTCTGTGTCTATTAAAAGATGCAAAATATAAAAGACAGTTCTCAGGTATACAGCCAATTTGTCTATTTTTTAAGAACAGAACAGAACTGATACATGTAACTAAAACTGAATTAATGTCATAAAATAAATTAGTGAAGTATGTCCTTTGTTACTTCAAGTTACAACAAAATCGTATGCAGGGACAAGTTTTATTTAATTATTTAATTTAATTGATATAATTATGAACTTGTATTATTTTTAATCAAATTTCATATAAAAATATGTTTCGATTGAGTGCGCACAACCTTCGTAACCATTACTTACAAACTCGGACGACTGCGTCCGGGAATCAATGTATTTGATGTCTTCTTTGTTTTTACTGTGGTTCAGGTTTCATTGAAAACTGAATCGTTCTTATACAATGTATTATATTTCTTGTTTTAATATATCATTTTTCCTGTTTTAATAATTCGTATTTTAGGAATAATTCAATGAGTCCAAGTTAGTTTTTGGACTTAATATGGTGTACTGTTCAAGTGTTATAAAAGAAGACGGTTTATATCATTCGAGGGCTAATCGGGAAGTTTGTAGACTTTACGTGTAGCATCGTTATTATTTGTCTTATTACTATGAAACTTTAAAAAAAATTAAATAGACTTCTTTCATAGTCGTGCATGTGCCTAAATGTTGCGGGTTTTTTTTCAATGCGCATCGGAAACCCTGGTGCACCTGAAAAAGGCATATTTTATTGATAAGCATTTTGAACGGTTAAAAGTGCTACGTAGTGTAAGTACTACTTTAAGAAGCACCGACTGTTTCTTAAACAAAGATGCTCGATATAATAAGAATGAGCGATTATAGAAAAAAAGAGAAATGATATGGTACACAGTGACAGGCGATATACATTGAGAAGTTTAGCTACTAAACTGGATGTTTCCACTTCAACAGTATATATCTAAAGAGCTAGGAGTGTCTAAAGTGTGCGCCCGGTGGTTACGAGCGTGGAGGCGAAGAATTCTTTGACTGCATAGTATCGACGACACGACATGGTTCCTTCAATTTGAACCGCAGAGAAAAGAATGGTTATGTGTGTGGAACACCTCTGGGACCCCTCCCCCAAAGAAGACCAGAGTACAAAAGAGTGGTTAGAAACACGTGTTTATCATTTATGTTTATTT